CGCCCGCCCCGCCCCCTCGGCGGCCGGCTCACCTCGGCACTCGGGGGGCGGGCTGCTCCACTGGTCCTGGCCGGAGCACACGAGCCGGCTCTGGCCCACCAGCGAGAAGGGGTCGGGCCCCCCGGAAGGGTTGCAGCTGTAGGTCACGGTCTCCTGGAACTCGTACTCGTCCTTGCCGCTGTTGCTGAACTTCCCGTTGGCTATTTTGGCGGGCGGCTGACACCGCACCTCTGCCGGGAGATGGGGCACCCGTGACCCCCGGGTCTCCGCACGGCCGTGGGCGCGGGTGTCCAGGCGGCCGCGGGGGGGGAGGGGGGCCGGGACCCCAAGCTCCGACAAGGCGGCGGCACGGAACGCCAGAACCAACCCGCTCGTACGCGAGCCTGGAGGCGCCCAGCGCCGCTCGCCACAGGCCGCTGCCTACTCTCGGGGCCAGGGGTGGGGGGGGGGCCGGGGCTGCCGAGAGGTGCCCCCGGCTCGGAAACGCACCGGCAGTCCGCGAGGCCCCAGCGCTCACGGCAGTGCGCAGGGCAGGCCTCTCCGCGAGGCCACGCCCCGTTCCCGAGGCCACGCCCCGTTCCCGAGGCCACGCCCCGAATGGCAGCAAAGGCCCCGTGGTCAATGGCGGCGTGCCTGGGCGACCTGGGCCACCTCTGGGTCCCGCCTGCGGGACCGGGCGGGTGGCAAACGGCGCCGTCCGGTGCGGGTCTGCCGGCGGAAGCTTCTCCTCTCCCCTGGGCCAGCTGGGCTGGCAGCGGCCCCACGGCGGCAGGCGGACACCCGAAGCCCCGCCCCCCATGAAGGCGGCCTGCGGGCCGGGGACACTCACTCTCGCACTGCGGGAAGTTGTCGCTCCACTCCAAGCTGCTCCCGGAGAGCTCGCAGTACAGCTCCTTCCTTCCGACTAAGAAGAAGCTGAGGGGAAGGAACAGTCACGGGGACGGGGAGCAGGGCTCCTGGGGGCCCGGGGGTGCTCCCACCAGCAGGGAACCCCGCGGGACACCCTGCGTGAGCGTACCCCAGGCAGAGACCAGCCCCCGGCCCCTGCTGAGCGGCCCGCGTCTGTGGCCTTCCCGGTGACGCCACCCTCAGGGCCAGGCGGCCGGGACGCCTGGAGGGAGGCCGCTGTCCGCTGGCTCTCCAGCCACGCAGGCCCCGGGTGCGGCCGGCCCCTCCCTCCCGGCACCGCGGGCCCAGCCCAGCACGGGCGCTGCCCGCTCACCCCTCGTTGCAGGCGAAGGTGATGGAGGCGCCGAACTCGAAGCCCCGGTCTCCCCTGATGATCCTGCCATTCTGGGGCTCTCCGGGGTGCGGACACGACTTTCCTGGAACAAAGGGCCGCGTTCACCGCCCCGCCAATCCCGGCTGGCGCCAGGCTCACACCCTGACGCCAGCGCCCACCGCGGTAGGGGCTGCGCGTGCCGGTCGGCGCCCGGGGCCGCCACTCACGAGTGCAGGACTCCGGGAGCGTCGACCACGTGCCATCTGCGCCGCAGGTCAGCACGAAGGGGCCCGGGCTGGAGCGCCGGTAGCCGGGGCGACACTCCAGCTCCACCTGCTCCTGGGGCTGGTAGGTGGGTTTCAGGGGGTCCCTGGGCTTCATGGACTGCATGGGCGGAGGGGCGTCGCAGGCACCTAGGAGCGAGCACAGGCCCGTCTGCAGCGTCCTCCCGCCCAGGCACCGGGCACGGCCAGCAGGCAGGGGTCTGGGTGGGCGTCGGGAATGCAGGCAGTGAGCCCCGCCCCTCACCCAGCCACGCCACGCCCACACCGGCCCCTCACCCAGCCAGGCCCGCCCAAGGCCCCGCCCACACCGGCCCCAGGCCCCGCCCACACCGGCCCCTCACCCAGCCAAGCCCCGCCCTCCAGGCCCCGCCTACACCGGCCCCCAGGCCCAGCCCCTGTCCAGCCGGCCCCTTGGGGCGGGCGGCCTCAGGTCTGGGCCTTTCTCCCCAGAGGCTGCAGGACGGCTGCCAACCGCGCCGAGCCCCTCCCCGCTCTCTCCTTGGGCCGTCAGAGCGACCCGGAGGCTGGGATGCGGACAGCAGCGGCTGGGCACTGCGGACACCGGCCCGGGGCGCCGCAGCGCTCTGGCACAAAGCTCCTCCCCCAGCTCCCAGGGCCGGCCGGGCCCGGGATCCGGCTGGCACTGCCCTGGCGCCGGCCACCTACCCCATTCCACACCGCTGACCTCAGCCACAAGTAACGGCAGCCGACCGGGGGGGTCAGCGTGGGTGGCGGTCCCGCAGGCAGGGCTGTGGGCAGCTTCACGCCAACACCCGGGGCTGGGCAGCGTCAGTTGGCGGCAGAAGACCAAACCCCACAAGGCCCGGGCGCCACCAGGGCGCGGGCCGCCAGCCACACCCTCGCAGGGGGCGGGCGGCCGGGCGGCGGCCGGGGCCTGCCGGAGGACAGGCCACAGCCGCGTCCACTAAGAAAAGCCCCTGCCCGCAGGGTCAGGCGGAGCGGGTGGGGCCTGCCGGCGAAGCTGCGCTGGAGCGGCC